CTTGGTGGGCGTTGGACCCCCTGCCGCGGTCTCCAAAGCCAGGAGATGCCTCGCACCGTGGCAGGGAACCACTTGTGCACCGCAGAGCATCCTAGCCCCGGCAGGACGGCCGGGCTATTCCTGCTCAACCCCACGGCGATGCTGAGCCGAGCTGGAAGGGTTAGGGTTAGGGTTGGTGTCTAAAGACACCAACTCCCCCCACGCGACCTCTGGGAGAGCTCCGGGGCACTGATTTGATCCATCTCTTTCCAGCTGCTGAGCGGGCACCTGGCGTGGGTCCTGGCATGCGGGGAGCAGGAGTACCAGACCGCAGAGGGCAACTGCGCTCCCTGCGAGGCCTGCCCCCCGGGAGAGGAGCCGGACAGGGTAAGCCACGAGTCCCTCGTGCCAGGGGACGGGGCAGTTCCTGGGGCAGGGGTGTTTGCTGTGCCGGGGAGTGGGGATGAGCAGGTCTCTCCTTCCTAGCCCCCGCTCCGACGAGCCCCAGTAGGGCTATGAAGCCCTCCCCTGGCAGTAACTGTTGAGGGTGGATGATGGGTGCCCCGATCGGTGCTAACGGGGCAGAGACCTGGGTACGATGCCCTGTGCAGACTTGGGTCCAGGTGGGAGAGGAGGTGGGACAGCCCTGCGGTCTTGGGAGCTCTTCTCGGCACCACAAGTGCCGCCCGAGCACGGATGGCCAGCGCGTCTCCTACCGCACGCCACCGACTCCCTCGTTTGGGTCCCTGCAGATGTGCGGCTCTGGGCAAGGCCTGGGGATGACCTGTCGAGCTTGCTCTCCGGGCACCTTCTCAGCCGGCCGTGGAGTGGCACCTTGCTTGCCTCATACCCTCTGCGAAGCCAGGAAGAGGGTCCCTGCCAGTCCTGGGACAGCTACAGCTGACAGTCGATGTGGAGACTGCGTGCCAGGGTAACCGTGCTTTATACCTTTTTATATATACTTTATTCCATGTAGGGGGTGGCAAGTGTGGGGCTGCAGTAGCAGCTGGGTGCAAGACACCACAAGATCAGCAGCCAGGGGCAGGCAGGTGACAGTGGCCAGGGGCTTTAAGTCCCTGGGGCAGGTAAGACTGACTGTCCCCACCACCCCAGGGTTGAGCTTGTTGGCTGCATGTCTGCATCCCCCAGTGCATCTGCAGCTCTGGAAAGGGCCGCGTGCTCACTCCTTGCCGGAGGCAGGTCCCATGCCTCGCTGCAGGCCTGTGGAGACGGGGTGCCTGGCTCTGACCCCTCCTGAGATGGGCCAGGGGGTCTGGCATCACCGAAGCTGCCCGCGAGGCTCCGAGTTGGATGGCAGCCTCGCAAACTCTCCAAGCTGCTGAGCAAGGAGGGGGCAGGAGCCGGTGACTGCAAACTGAGTCACTGGGAAGCTTTTGGCTGAACTTGCCCAGTTTGTGCGCTCTGGGTGGAGGGGAGCCAGCTGCCTTAGTCACCTCTGTCTGCCTCGGGCTCCTGCCAGGTGCTGGAGCGGATGCAAACGTGCTGGGTCCATAGCGCTGGGTGGAGGCCACTTGCAAAAGGGGGAAGTGAGTTTCTGCCCACTTTTCCCTGGGAAAATCTTGCACTTTTCCTTCTGGAGGTTTCCACAAGCTGCAAACGAACTGGCTAACTTTGCTCTGCCTCCGAAATGCAGCCACTTCTGGGGTGGAATGTGGCCCGTGCATAACAGTGCAGAGCAACGCTTGTGTTGGGACAGGAAGAGGCTAGCAAAGGATGTGGTGGGAAAGTCGCTGCGTCCATGGTAGCTGTGGAAGTGACCTTGTGCCTCCCCAGTAATGCCCAGGTGCTGTTCCCATCCCCCCCTCCACTCCCTTGCTAACTTCTCTTCAATCTTGGCAGGTTTTACAGCCCTGAAGGGGAGACGGACCCCACCGCTGAATGCCTGCTGTGCGCCTCTGCTCCCGAAGGCATACCGGGGTGCCCAGGTCAGTGCCGGGGATGGGGAAGAAAGCAACAGCCGTTGCATGTGGGGGGATTACCAGATGCCTGGGATCCTGCTCTCCATCTCCTCAGCGTTTGGAGCTGCCCCTGCCTACCCACTTCCCTCTGGGAATCCACTGAGCTGCTTGTGGCAAGGAGTGGAGCGTGGTTTTGGGGTTTTTTTTCTCCTTTATGCCATTTGTGCCTTCTCGGAGCTATTTTAAAGCCACCGGTATTTATGCGGCTCACAAATCCCTCTTTGTGCCAGGGGGTCATTAAAGCACCTGAGGGCAGGCGGTAGCTCAGGGATCCTCAACCAGGGTGTAGCAGGTCCTTTTGCAGGGTGCTGCAGGAGGCGTGAGGATATAAGCAGATAAGGGCAGGCTCAGGTTTGCCCTGCCTGCCCCCTCAGCAAGGAGATAAGCCCTCTAATTAACCCATCATTTGTTTGAAATGAGGTGCCGCTCAATTCCCAGAAGCTGTGGAGGGGGTCTCCAGTCTGAGGATGAACCTGAAAAGGTCGGCAATTACTGCAATAGGTAGCGGGCTACGAGGAAAACGGTTTAGAAGAGCCCTTTCTGCCTCTGCAGAGACGTTGCGCCAGATGTGGCTGCTCGCGCACATCTGGATTGAAGCGCGAAGGGGGTGGATTTGGAGTTGGGCTCCAAGCGTGAGTCTCTTGCCGCTGACATCTCTCTGCCTTGTCTGCAAGCTCTTGAGGGCAGAGAGGGTCTCCCTTGCTCTGTTTGCACTTGCCGGGGGCTGCAAGGCCCTGGGCTGTACCACTCTGTGCGCTGGAGCGGGAGATGGCTGCAGCGCAGCCCTGTCTAGGGCGCAGCGCCTTGGACGCCGTCCCAGCGTGCAGCACTGTCGTTCCCGCTGTCGGGATGGGAAGCCGGAGGCCCTTGAAGGAGCCGCGGAGGAGTTTGCAGGGGCGAGGTGGAATGGCTGGGGCTAGTAATTATGGTCACCGCCGAAATGCGTTGCAGCAGCGGCTGCACGTGTCTAGTCCCAGGAGTGCCCGCTTGTCCCACGCAAGCCCACACGAGGTGAGCAGTAGGTCCCGTGCCCTCCGTGGCCTTGCTGCCTCTGCCTGGTGGCATCCAGTGGGGACGGGCGCTGCCCACGCAGGCTAGGATTGCAAATGCCAGGAGAGATAGCAAGGCATTTGCATACCATGCACAAAGCTGCCTGGAAAGGAAACCAGTCGAGTGGTTGCCTGAAAGCCCGCCCAGCCGCCCGAGACGGGAGTCCTGGAGCGCGTGTTGCAATAGGAGGTGCGTTCGGATGCATGCACATAGAAGGTGGGGGCATGATTCACCTGCCGTATCTGGCAGGGCTGAGACAGGCTGGCCTGTTTGGGCGGGGAGAGAGCGGCAGCTTTCCAATGAGTAAGGTTGTTCAAGGTGCTACGGTTTCGCTGGGCGGCTGATCCTCCCAGGAGGCTGAGGCATCTCGGATAAGCATGACAGGAGTCTGTTGGCATCTTTTGCTTTGTGCCATGTCTGCGTCTAGGGGATCGCCTACAGATGCTATAAGGCTCATGCCTGCAAGCTGCTGGATGGGTGGGCTCAGATCCTAGGAGGGCCTTTCCAGAGCACCTATAGCAAGACCTATTTGACTTTAATCTAGATCATGGAGGAGCCCTGACCCTCCCATGACACAAGGGTAGGGTGTTAACCCCACCTCGCCCTCGCAAAAATGTCTAGCGCGCAGCTGGAAGTGCGGCTGGGCCATTCAGCGTGAAGGGAGGGTTAGTGGCAGGTGCGAGCTTGGGGGAGCGCCCTTGCTAAGGGGGTTGGGTGGGTAGGTTGGGAGGAGGATGCTTTTGGTCCTCTTGCTCTGGCAGGCATCCAGGATGCCCCCAGAGATCAGACGGACAATTGCCACGGAGCTGGGAGAGCCTCTGTGACTCAAGTCAGGTCCTAATCATTTCCCCAGCCTTGAGCGCATTCGCTTGCGGCCCATGCGGAGAGAAGGGGCAGGGAGAGCACATGAGCGGTGAGCCGCTCACGCTTCCCTCTAGAAACTGGTATTTTCTCTCCTCGCCTCTTTTTTGTTCTGCTCGGACTAAACTGGCAGGTTTCTTCTCCTCCTCCTGCATCAGGCCGGTGATCCCTGCGCCCAGCTCCAGCTCCATTGCCTTTGGGCATCAGAAACCTGCTTCCTAGCTGGAGACCTAAAAATCCTCCGGTGGCCGAGGTGACTCGGGGTCTCTGTAGCGGAGGTGGCAGAAGGTAGAGAAGTCGCAGGGACAAACCCGAGGTACTGCTGGAGGATGCCACAGACCCAAATCCCCACCCTGCTCTGCCCTTCTTGCTCAGATCCCTCTGTCCCCCCAACACTGCTGCTCCCCAGGGATGGGTTGAAGCAATAAGAAAAGCATCTCTTAAGTGCAGAAATAGCCTGTATTTTATTCCAGTTTTAGGCCCCCACTACAGAAAGGCTGTGGACAAATTGAAGACGGGCCAGTGAAAATGGTTGCAGGGTTGGAGCACACAACTGGTGAAGAGAGACTGAGGGACCTGGGCTGATTTAGTCTGCAGAAGAGGAGACTGAGGGGAGATTTGATAGCAGCCTTCACCTCCCCGCAGGGGGGTTGCAAAGAGGATGGAGCTGGGCTGGTCTCAGTGGGGGCAGACGACAGGCCAAGGAGCAATGGGCTCAAGCTGCAGCAAGGGAAGTTGAGGTTGGACATTAGGGAAACTTTCCCTAATAAGTAAACTTTCTCACGAAGAGGGTGGTGAAGCCCTGGCGCAGGTGGTGCACTCTCCATCCTTGGAGGTTTTGAAGACCCAGCTAGACAAAGCCTTGGGATGATCTTGTTGGGGCTGGTCCTGCTTTGAACGGGGTGGGGGGACTAGATGATCTCCTGAGGTCCAACCCTCATTTTCTGTGATTTAAGTGTCAGCCTGCAGGCTGAGGGGAGAGAGAGAAGCAGCACAAACTCGCGCTGCTCTTGCTGGCGCTCCCCAGGGGTCAGTGCTCCCTGCCTTGCAGCCCTCTCCTGGGGGATCACCATCCCTGCGCGTGCCTGCCCGCGCGCTGCGCGTGGCCCCAGCGTGGCGCCGACGGTCCCGGAGCGCTGCCTTGGCACAGGAGTGCTGCGAGGCGCTCCACGTTGCATTGTTGGCACCTTGTATTTGCAGACTCAGTCAGATCCCAGCTGGCAGCAGCTTGTTGGCACCGCTGGTGGTGAGAGCGGTGCTGGTTTCCACCCCCACTGAGGACGTTCTTTTCTCGCCCGGCTCTTCCTCCTTCTGTTGGGCTTGATATTTTCACAGCTTCCAAAATAAATCATTGGGCCCAGGCCAGGTGTGACACCATCGGATGCCAAAGCTCCAGTAGCAGCTTTAGCATCTCCCTGCGGTACCAAGATAAACGCTTTGCGGGAGAGGTGGCATCTCTGTGTGTGTGCGTGTGGGGGGGGGGTTAGTGCTCTACTGGGCATATGGCAGGTTGTAATTGAGTGTGTTAGTGTAGGTGCGAGGGGACCAAGCCATGTCCTGTCTGCATGGAAACGCATGGGTTCCTCTCTTGGGGAACCCCGGTGTTGGCTCGTCAGACCCTCCGCGCTGGCTGCCACCTTTGCCAATGCTGAGGATTGACCCGCAGGCCCCGGACTAGACGTTATCAGGCTGAGGTGAAGGGCTGAGCTTGGCACGAGAGGCCCTCTGGGCATTTATACACATACCTTTGCCTGCTCCGACGCGCTGGAAATCCAGCGCGTTGGAGCAAACTTGATTAACCACATTTGCTCCGCACCGAGCTAACGCACCCTGCCGTTGTGCAAGCGGGAAAATGTGCGTCGGCGCGCAGAAAGTGGCAGGGGTGCACTTTTGAACTAGAAAGTGTTTGATTTGGTTTCGTTCACGCGTTTTGCTGTCCGTACGATGGCATGCGCGGCAGCGCCAGGCGCTTTTAAAAGCTCCCAGCAGCATGGCAGAAGCATGTGTACAAATGCCCCTTGATTCGTATGTGCTGTGGGTCATGGGCAGAGAGAGATCTGTTGCAAGCAATGAACAACGGGTCTGGGGGCACAACAGGAGCTGCCAGTGTCATAAACTTCGAGCAGGCTCGTTGGGCAAGCGGCACGCTGCCCACAATGCTTGATGAGGGTCAGCCTCAGAGCCCGTCTCTGCTGCTCTCGGGACTGCAGCAGCCCACTCTGGCGATGGCAGGAAGAGCCGGGCCTTCAGCCCCAGAGTCGCCAATCTCCCTCCTCATCCCTGCCTGTGCCCAGCGGGGCAGACACTGCGCCCAGCATCGGATGAGCAGCTCCCTGCCCATTACTGCAAACGGGACGGAGGCTGCTGCAGCGCGCCAAGGGCATGCTCGGTGCAAGGGTTGCCATGTTGGCTGGGCACAGCCTGGTGGGACGGTCCAGCACCTGCTGGGATGAAGAGCCAGGTGTGGGCTCCTTGGGTCTCTGTGTGGGACACGAGGCGTTCGGTTTTGATATTGCAGTCTCCGTTGCAACTTGTCCCTCTCCCCTGTTCGCCTGATGGCAGGAGCGGGGACCTGGGAGCACCTTGCTGGTGGCTTCGGGGATGTCAGAGGGATCCAGGCCCTGTCCCGGCCACTCTGGGACCCTGGAGCTGGGAGAAAAAGCCAAATGGCCTCTAGCAGGACATTGCAAAAAGTCCTAGCTTTTTTCCTAAACTTTTTCCAGCAAAAAAAGGAACTCTTTTATTGTTGAAGGGAAAATGGAAAGCAATCCTCTCCCCCTGTTTTTTCTGTTCATGCAAACCTGCAAATGTTTCCTGATGTGAACCCCACACTGGGGAAGCCACCAAAAGGGAGGGGAGAGGGTGTTTCCAGACTCCGGGCCCGTCTTGCTCTTGGGTTGACTCGGGGCTTTCTCTTTCCTTCCCCAGGCTCCAGGGTGGGGCTGACCCGGCTGGTGAGGCACGTCGACCCACTGCAGAGGCCAGACAAGAAGGCGTCCAACGGCACGCAGGGCGGGAAGCCGGAGGAGAGCGCCACGCAATACGCCGTGCTGGCCATTGTGCCGGTCTTCTGCGTCATGGGGCTGCTGGGCATCCTGGTCTGCAACCTGCTGAAGAAGAAGGGCTACCACTGCACGGCGCACAAGGAGACAGACGAGGAGGTGACGAAGGCTGAGAGGAGCGGTAAGTGGCATCGGGTTTCCGGAGCCGATGCGTTCTTCCCCCTTGGGTACAGTCCAGGCCAGGCCTCTCCCCCAAGCCCCACTCTGGGGATGTTGCCCCTTTGGTGCCCCTTCATGCATCTCTTGACACCCCCACGTTGTGATCTGTGGCCCGCGAGACCAGCCCCAAGTAGGGCCCAGCTTGGAAAGATCAGCTTCCAGGCCTCCCACCCGTGCCACGGGCAGGGTGGCGCATGGCAGCGCAGAGGGTTGGGCACCTTGGCAGCCCCTCAACGTGGAGGCCAAGGTGCTGAGACCCTCCTTGCCTCTGTGGGGAAGCCCCCAATGATCCCTCATCCCCACCCTGAATATAGCTGTCTCCCCCAAACCCTCTGGTCCTAGCAGTGTGCCTAAATCCCCTAGTCTCCTTTGGAGAGCCTCCTGACTGAAGCAGGGAGGGGGTCAGGGAGGCGAGAGGATTTCCCGGGCCCCGTGAGTTTTGTCCTTGCCACCGGTTCTGCAGCAGGGAGCAAAGCTTTGCTGGGCAGGGCGCCTCAAGGGCAGGGCACGCTGCAGGAGATGCTGAGTAAGAGCCACCTCTGCAGTCCCAGCGGCTAGGAGCGAGCCGCAAGGGCACAAGGGCTGGCTGTCCTTCGGAGGAGGCTGGGCCCTGCAGAGAAAGCGGAGACCCCTTTCTCCCTACCGCAAAGCTGCCAGGTGTGCTAGTGGAGAGGCTCGCATGGCTCTGCTAAGCGCTGTGCCCGTCTGTATAGCATGCAACCTGGATACCCTCCATACAGAGGCTGAGGCGGCTGCTGCTGGGCTGGGCTGGGCTGGGGGGTCTCGGCCCTGCCCGCTGCAAGGGTGCACCCCTGCCACTGCAGGCAGCTGCAAAGGGCATCCAGGCAGCACAGCAGCCTCTAGCAGCCAAGAGCACAAAGCTCTCAGGCAGGTGAAGCAGCTGAGATGCTGGCAAGATTGCAAGCACTGGAGGTTGGAAAGTGCTGCAGGTCCTTCGGTCTCGAAGCTTGGGCCCACAGGAATAGGACCAGATGCCTCCCACACCTATTGCCAGGGCGCCTGGGCAGAGGAAACCTCGACACTGCTGCAAAAACAAACACAACAAGCTCCCCAACCAGGCTCAGCTCCCCCAATCCAGGGAGAATGATCCCCGAGAGAGTTGGGGTAAAGTGCCACCAACACGAGTTGCACCCACCTGGTGCATTACTTGCTGCCCCGTCACGCGAGAATAACCCGCCGTGTGAGCTGCCCTGGGAGAGCTGCACGTCTGTCTGGTTCTGATCCCAGGGTCACTGTTATACCAGGACAGGTCTCTGTCCGTGCTCGGAGGGGTTCAACCAAGAGCGGCCCCTGCTCCCATGTGCGAACCGTGGTGTTAGCCGGTCGAGTTGAGCCTGACCTCCCAAAAATCAGATCTTGGCTGGTGCAGGATGGGGCCGGGGGGAGAGAAAGGGACCTGTCCCCAAACCTAGCAATAAGCTCCCCAAAATGGGTCTGCTTGCTTTGCTCTCTTTCCGGATGGCTCATGTCAGCACATGCTGATGTGACTGATTCCCTCCTGACCAGCTGCATCTCTCCTGGGCTTTTCTCCAGCAGGGAGCACACGGTGTATTTGTACCCCTACCCCAGGCCAGGCCCAGGTTGCTGAATGATAAAACCCTCTGCTCCCTTCCTAGCCTATTTTTTTTGCGGGGGGGTTCTCCACTGGTGCAAAATTGGTGCTGAGGGGCTTGCTGGCAAAGCCGCCTCCAAATCAAATCAGAGAGATGTTGAGGCTACGGAGGGCATGAGCTGTTAGACCTGCTGTGCCAAGCATAGCCCGTGCAGGGCCGGGCACGATGTACTTTCATCCCAGTCGCTGGGAGATCCTCAGGAGAGGTGCTTTGCTCAGCGGTGCCTGGGGAAAGCTCAGGCCCTCGGGCCGGGTCTGCAATACAGGGAGACTTGCACTAACTTCAGTTGTGTTTTACTCACTTATGGGGTGACTTTGGGTTTTTGGGGGGTTTTGGGTCTTTCGTGTGTTCAAGCCTTATTCAGCAATGAAGGGATCTAGGAACGTTTTGCCATGAAAGCTGGTCCCGGTGCCACAGCCGGACCTCCAAAGCCTGGTGTTTTGGGGCAAACAAGTGCGAGTGATGGCAATGTGGGTCACTTCTACATCACTTCCAATACGAGTAAAGAAACCTCCAGAGATGTGTCCATTTGGCATCCCCCCCAGACGACACGACTGAGTGCCCTGCTCATCCCATTTCCTCTGTGTGCCAGCCCGTGCCCAGACCACACCTGGGTGGCACGGCTGGGTCCATCCTTGGGCACCGAGTGAATACCAAGTGCCCTGCTCAACCCATTTCCTCTGCCCAGAGCACCCCTGGGTGGCACAGCTGGGCCGCACCATCTGAAGCAGCTTGCCTTTGCCCAGCACTGTCGTCGTCCAAGAGCCCGTGGCTCCCCGTTGCCCTGCATGCCTCTCCCCAGTGTTTTGGGAGAAAAGTTTAAATAACCCCCAAATGCTTGACGTGCGTGGATGTCGCTATGACGACCATGCAGATGGGTCCCTGGTGCTTGCGGCCCCGGTTGTTGCTGGGCTCGATGAGATGAAACCGGTGATGACCTAGTTTCTGGAGCAGACTTAGCTACAGTTAAGCGGCCCTACGGGATAGGAGAGGGGGGGTGCCGGAGATGTGCACAGCAAAGCCCAGGCTTATAAAGCCTCCTGAAGAGGGCTTTATAACCAAGGAGTTGGCATTGCTACGATCCCATGTGATTGCCCACCGCGACTATGCGGCCCATTTCACAGCTGGAGAAACTGAGGTGCAGAGAAACACAGCTGCTTGTTGAAAGATGCTCAACCCTGCTAGCTTCCGCACGCGCTATCCAGCTGCTTCTCCAGCAGCTTTGGGGGGTCCTTTCCCCCCGGCCAGCTGTGTTTAACAGGGGTGGGTGTTGGGGTGACGCAGCCTGCTGTTTGGAGGCGAGGGGAGCGCTGGGGGCTGCTGGCAGCTTGGATACGCTTCAGTCCCAGCTGTGCTGTAGGTGTCCTGTGTGACCTTGGTCAAGTCACTAAACCCTCTAGGCCCTGGAGGACAGGGGTCACGCTGCCCTTTGAACTATTGAGACCGGAAGCTCGTCCAGCGAGGAAGCTCGTGCATGTGCAGCGCCTTGCGTACGCGCAGAGCAGTGGGCTCTGGGGCCTCTGGGAAATGTGACTGCAATAAAAGATGGGCGATTTGAGACCTTCCACTTGGCACCTGCTAATTTGGAGCATAAGCGTGTGGTCGGTGGGGGCAGGGTCTCTAGGATGAGGGGTCAGGGGTGTTTTGGAGCTGGGGTTGGGGGCACACCGGGGTTGCCCCTGGCCAAGCCATTGAGACGAGCCTTTATTCCTCCACCTCCACAACAGGCAGGACCTTTGTGGACCTCTGCGTGGCCCCGAGGCCAGCATGGGCAGGGCGATAAGACGCCCTGGTATTTCTGTACGTTGGAGGCGATATGGGATGCTCACACCCGGGTGTCTCTCTGCAGGTAGCAGCTCGACCTACCGGATCGACGACGCCAATGAAGACACCATCGGGGTCCTGGTGCGGCTGATCACGGAGAAGAAAGGTCAGTGGCGAGGGAGGCAGGGCTCTTTCCAACCCCGCGAGAGACCCGGAGGGTCCCGGCTCGCGTGGGGATGCTCAGGGCAGGGGTGACTTGGCTAATCCAATGTAAGCATGCTTTAAAATTTCTGTATACCTCTTGGCTTAAAACCCTCCCCTCCCCGTCACGCTTCACTCGTGCCCAAACAAGGCGATGCCTCGTTACCTCTCTTTTTCCTGGCAACAGGATTACAAATCTTAGTGTAACCTGGGTCACTGCAAGGTTTCACCAGCACCTTGGCAAGCCTGGGTGACGAGGTTACAGAGCCATATGAATGAAGGGACCTTCAGAGGTCACCGAGTCCGACCCTCTGCCTGAGGCAGGGTCAGCCCCATCCCAGCCGTCCCAGGCAAACCCACTTGCTGCCGTTATAACCCCTGAACGGGGCTCGCAAAATGCATCCGGCTTTCGGCTCACGGTCCTTTCTGGCGCTCCGGTCCCGACAGAGAACGCCGCTGCCCTGGAGGAGCTGCTGAAGGACTATCACAGCAAGCAGGTGGTGCAGACTACCCACAAGCCCACTAACAAGTAAGACCACCGCCCTCGGCTCCGGGGGTCTGTCACGGGACCGGCTGGACGATGCACGGGCTCGGTGGAGGTCGGCGTAGGCAGGAGTTGCTGGGAACCCATTTAGCACCAGGAAAAGCCCCGGGTGTTGCGGCCGTGGCGAGAGAGGAGCAAGTCGCGGCATCTTGCCCCAAGGGTCTCCCCAGGCAAAACGTGCTGGCCAGGAACCCCGTTGCAGGAAAGAACGGCACGCAGGTCTGGTGGGGACCAGTCCAGCCGAAACCGGCCGCGGCCCCTGCAACCGTGTACCCCCGGGCTCGCAGGGCTGCAGCAGGATTTTGGTTGCACCTGTGCTGGTCTGCTGTGACCCTGTGAGTGACCAGGGCCTTCTGCAGAGGGGCCTCAAAGGAGCTGTTACAGCCTCCTTGCCCGGAGGGCTGCCTGCAAAAAGCTGCTCGGGGCGGGTAGCGCTTGCAAGCGTACAAGAGCTGGCTCCTTGCAGGGGGAAGATGGGCTGCCCTGCTGCCTGTGATGCTTTTGGTTTGGGTAGGGTTTGTCATAAGGGGCAAGCATGGTGTATAGTGAGCACCTGGGAGATGCATCACTCGCCAGCATAGTCCTGGGCTACGGTCCCACGTGGGGTTGAGGCAGGGGGGGATCCCGTGGGGTAGTCGGGGGTGATATGGCCTGGTCTGTCCTTTCTACCCTCCCTCCTGACCCTGTCTCCCCTCCCCAACAGGCTGCACCTCCTGCCACAGCTACCCCCCATCTGCCGGCACCAGCACCACCTGCACACGGTGCAGGGCCTGGCCCCACGCTCGGGCCCTAGCTGCACCCGCTGCAGCCAGAAGAAGTGGCCGGAGGTGCTGCTTTCGCCCGAAGCTGCAGCCACTGCTGCTGCCATCACTCCCATCCCCACGATGACCAGTATCATCCCTGCCAAGCCGTCCAAGCCAGGTGGCAAGGCTAGCAGGTCTGGGGAGATCACCATCCTCTCCGTAGGCAGGTGAGCGGGACAGAGCGGGCACCCGAGGGGGCTGGAGCAAGGGAAGCTTTCGGTGTCTTGTCACCCAGCAGCGCAGGGACGCCTCGCCAGGTGCCCTGCTCTGCTCTGCTCAGCAAGCCCTGGTACCCGCGACCACTTAGCCTGGCACTAACACCAGGTGGGCATCTGCCCAGAGGGCAAGAGGGTCTCTCATGCCCAGCCAGGGCCACGTGCAGGGAGAAAGGGGCAGCCTGCTTGGCCCCTGCTTGGGGGTGGGTGCTGTGATCCTGGCTGACGTGGCGCGGCGCAGGCAGGAGTTGCTGGAGCACATTTAGACCCTGCTCGCAGCGAGGGTCCAGGCTCTTGAGAGATCTGATCCCCCGATGGGGACAGGTTGCAGCGTTGCCAGCAACGCCTTGTAGCACCGTTGAGCCGGCTCCCAAGCCTGCGGCTGACCTTTGAGCTGGCTCCCAAGCTGCAGAGGACGGCAGTCTCTAATCCCAGGGGTCCTGAGTGCTCGCCCTGCTGCTTGCAACCCACCTAGGGCCAGCTTATACCTGCCCCCAGGAGAAGGCAGGGGGTTGCCCCCGCAGGGGTGGGTCAGTACTGGGACCTGCCCAGCTCACGCGCCGCGGTGCCCCCAGGTTTCGGGTGGCTCGCATCCCCGAGCAGAAGCCCAGCCTCCCGGAGGTGAAGACCGTCTCCGAGTGCAGCGGGACCGAGCTGCGCCCCGGATGCGGCCCCGTCTCCGGTGCACCCGACGCGCCCCGCTGCGGCCTCCCTGCCGAACAGAAGCCGCTGGTGAGCAACGGAGCCGCCCGGTCCACGTGGCTGAAGACGGCTGACAGCCAGCAAGAGGTGAGCGGCCCGTGCGCGTGGGGCACCTGGGTCCAGCGCTCCCGGGCGAGGGCTCCGGTCCAGGTTTCGCATCCCTCTCTCCTCACCCGCTTGGAAAGCGAGGCTGCTGCCGGTTGCACCCGTCTCCGGTTGCAATGCCGAAGCTGCGCGGGTCGGGGCGCGGATGGAGGGGAGCCCCGGGTCTGGGAGACTGGCTTTGTTTTCTGGCCTCCTTGGTAATGGCCGTGCTGCAGGCAGCCCCGTAAGCTCCTCGGGTATCGCGTGGGCCACGAAGGGACGTGTTTGTGGGAGCCCAGACAGCACCGGGCCCACCTTCTTCCCAGAAAGAGAGGCCACCAGTTAGTGCTTCTGGGCGAGAGACCCCGTCTGCGCCCCACGCTGGAGGAGGGGCCGCATATGCTCTCGGCCCCATGTCTGAACACCCCCCGCTTGCTCGTTTCAGGACAACCCGTACGTCATTAGACTGCGCGAGAGTAACCTTGTTATCTGAAGGTAACGCAGCCCTTGGACTTGCGGTGGCAGAGGGTGAGGGGACGCCACGGCCTTCTCTGCTTCTGCCGGCCCGGGGCAGGGTTCGGTGCTTTGGGGCGCCTGGGCAGGCTCTTTCTGCTTGGCAGTGGTGTATGGTGAAGGGCACAAGTGTGCACGTGGCTTCGTCCACCAGCAGCTCTAAGGGTTCGATTCCTGGCCCCGGCACCAGCCTGCTTGGCTGAGCAATGCGGGAGCAAGTCCGTGGAGGTTACGAAGGGTGGTATGTTCCCCGAAGGGCATGAGTTTCAGACGCACAATAAATACCTGAAGGAGGACTGGAGACGATAAGACGGAGGCTTTTCTCGGTGGCTGTAGGGTCCAGGACTAGGAGCAGCAGCCTCAAGCTGCAACAGAGGAAATTTAGGTTGGAGATCGGGGGCAACTTTCTGGCTCTGAGGGTGGTGAGGCTGTGAAATCTCCATCCTGGGAAGTCCTCAAGAGCTGGTTAGACAGGCACTTGGCTGGGACGGCTCAGTCAGGGGAGATCCTGCCTTGAGCAAGGATTAGATGACCTAGCCCTACTTTTCCTATGATCCTACAGGCAGTCTCCACACGGTATACACACACATCCTCTATTCTAGGCTTTCCAGCTCGCCTCTTAAACCGCTCGTCAGGCCAAAGCCTCCCGTAGGTTATGGCAGTGCTGCTGGGGGGCACTAGCCACGAACCCGCTGGTTGTGGGGCGAGGAGGAGCGTAGGGGCTCCGAGGAAGCCAGCATTGCTCACTCTTGCAAGCGATGCCGCGTGGCGGGGTGTGCCCCAGGATGGCGCTCGCCCGTCGTGGGGGCCGCTGCGTCCCTCCAGGGCGTATCCGTCATTGTGCGGCTCCTGCCAGCTGTCTCTGGGCTTCGCTTCCTGGGGTCTGAGTCTCGATCTGTGCGTACGGACCCTCTTCGAGGGGGCTCGTCTTGCAGGGGAGGGGAGCTGGGACCTCACAGTGCAGCCCTGCAAACAGCCAGTCGATGTGGCCCCTTGTGAAGCAGACTGGGGGGGTCCCTGGGGCTTACTTTAAACCCAGAGACCCTTCAGCCCACATTGCAATCTCCCCCCACCGGTGGGCCCTTGGCTGCCCTTAAGCCTGCTGATAGCCGGAGTCCGAAAAACCGGGGCTAGTAGGGGTGAGAAGCATCTCAGCTTGCCAAGCGCCCTCCAAAAAGACCCTGCGTGGCTCCTCAAAGCTGACCACCGACCCCCACCTCCTTTGTGAGGAAGGGAAGGAGCCTCTGCCTCATTTTTACCAAGGAGGAAACAGAGGCACGGGATTGGTGACTTGCCCCAGGCCGCACAGTGAGTCAGTGGCAGGGCTGAGCAGGCGTTTCCTTGTACCGGGTCCCCACGGTCCCACGGCTTGTGGCAGCCGGTACCCCGGGCTCACATCTCGGTGTTGCATCCCTCCTTGATCCCACATCTCTCCTCTCTCCCATTCGTAGGTAATCATCTGAGACCCCCGCGCACCAGGAGACCTGAACGGCAGCTCACCCGGAGGCTTCTGGTTGCCCGTCCGCCCGAGAAACGCACACGCTGGACGATGCTGAAGGCACCCCTTTCCCCCTCGGGAGATCTCCGCACGCACCCCCGGAGGATTGGGGGCCCCGTGGCACCAGCACATGCCAGCGGGAGCAGACTAGGGAGGGGCCTGGCATGGCCAAAAGCATTTTTCTTTTAAGGAAGGACTCATCAGGGAGGGCGGGGGGCAGCTTGGCGCCGGGCTGGGGGACCCGCTCCAAGGTCTTTGGTGCACAGGGCAAGGACTTGGGTGCATGCTCCAGCTGTGTGCTTACAAGGGGGCGTTGAGGAGGGTCAAGAGAGAGGGGAGGCTTCTTCCTGACCCCGGAGCATGTTCCTAATTCCCACGGGACCCAGCACGAGGGGGCACGTGGCACTGCAACGTAGGGGGCAGGGATGGCTTGGGGGGCCGGGGCATTGCAGTATTTCTTCCCCAGCTCCCTGTATGAACAAAAGCAAACCCCGGGCACACTTCCCATGCTGGAGAAGACCCAGCCTGGGGAATCGCCAGCCCTCTGGCCACAGCCGCAGTGATGGCATTAGTCCAGGCACAGCTCTTCTGCAGCATTGCCAGCTCTCATGCTATCGTGGTGAGCCTGGGAAGAAGGAGGGCATGGTTTTTTCCTTCTTCAAGCCCCAGCTCCTGGAGTCATGGGATGAGAGGAGAATCTCTGCCTTCATTTAAAAACAAATTTTCCCCAAGTTTCTAGCCTTCGTGGCTGGAGCAGTTGCCCTGGGGAAGCTGGAAGGCTTGGAGCCAGGAAGGAAATGTAAGGAAATGCAGCGTCTGCATTTAATGTGCTGGCCTTGCGGGGGCTGGGAACGCGGCAGACCCATGATTTTTTGAGCGGGGGGGGGTTGGCCGCACGGCTCGAGTGAGTCTAACGTGGCTCTCGGGCTGGTGGGGCGCAGGGAAGCCGGGGGGTCCGTGCCCCTGGGTGAACACCACTTCCGCGGTGCTTTCTGGCCCCCAGGGGAGCCGCAAACATTGCTCCATGTGCTGAACAGGACCTTGCCCGGTCGGTGAGCCAGAATGCGCTCGGCTGGGCTTTTAATTGTGCCTGCGGGCACGCCGGGTTTTCGAGCAAGGAGCTGTAAGTGCCAGGTCCCGGGGTGGGGGGATTCTCCAGGCAGGCTTGGAGAGGGGCTTTGAGCTCTCCCCTGCTGCACGGTCACAGGGCCCGGTCCCCCGGCTCTAGGGCAGGGCTCTCCCAGCCCCCACTTCAGTGTCCAGGGGCTGCTCCGGCTTCTGCCAAGAAAGCTTTTGCAGAGCGGATGTGGGATCCAGCTCAGGCCCCCGCGCTGGGTGCTCCTGAAGAGGATGCCTAGCCCCCCGGCTGGGCTCCCGTCCCCGTGTAGTGCTTTTAACCGTTCAGTCCAGGGCGGCTCGTGGGGGCATGGCCCTGCCATTGAGGGGGCAGTTGCTGCTAGTACGAATGGCTGCCCCTGACCCCGAGACGTGGAGCCTGGTGCAGGGGTCTGAGGCGGGCACCGCTGCCCCGGGGAAGATGGGCGCGCGGGGGCCTTTCTCCGGAGGGCCCAGCCTCGGAAAGCAGCGTCGAGACGCCTCCGACAGTCCTGGCCCCGGGAACGCTGCAAGGCTGCGCGTGCCGCAGTGCTTCATTCGCGAGCCCAGCTCTGTAGTGCCCGACCCCCGTCGGCGGGTCAGAGGGGTTAGGTTTGAGGGCTGCAGCACCCCCCACCTCCCCAACTTTGGACCAGTGAATCGGGTAACGCGGGACCACGGATCTCCTCCTGGCTGCGGGAGGCGCAGATGCCACGTGCCAGGCACAGCAGGGACCCGGAGCTGGTGTCTCTGTCCCAGCCCAAGCTCACGTCCTCCTATCTTCTCTCCCCCGCCCCACGGGAGGGTTTACCCCATTGTTTACAGTCGGGCTTAGCGCCAGCACGCGGCGCCGGCCCCTCTAGTCCTGTCTGGTTTTACATCCTTATTTATGCGGGCGGCGTGGGGATCCGCTTTTTAACCCGGCTGGCGTTGGCCAAGCTGCAGCCAACAGGGTCCCCAGCCTTGCCTTTTTTATTTACTGATACGTGTATTTGGGGTTGTTTTGGGGTTGTTGTTGTTTTTTGCCATCTGTTTTTTTTTAAGCCTCCTAGTTTTATGTTTGGATGTCAACACATTAAATAAAACACATGAGTTTTAAGCGGACTTTTGTCTCCAGGTTTTCTTCTCTTCCTACTCACTTGGGGGTGCCTGGTGGCACCGTCCCTCTCCCTCCCTCCCTCCTTCAGCCCCTGCGTGGGGAAACTGAGGCGTGGTGCTGCCCTGCATCACTTACCCAAGGGGTCACAGTAAGTCAATGGCAGGTCTGCTTGCCAGGCTCTCCTGGCTACATGGCAGTATAAAGCAGCCCTACTCCGAATGGAGCCCAAAGTCTCAGCTGTCCTCTTCTCCAAACCTGATTTTGGCTTGGAGAAGAGAAGACCGAGCGGGGATTTGCACAGGGAGGAAAACGGGGGAAGGAGATGCCGTGCAACCAGGCCGATTTGTGGATACAGCAGTGCACTGCTTGCGCTAGCCAAGCGGAGAGGAGTTGTGTTTAGGAGCCTTTGCAAGCTATGAGCCTCCGCTTGTATCGGTGCCGCACGCCTCTGAAGAGGTGACGGGCGAAGCCAGCATGCCCGTTGGTTTGGCGTGCTGCAAGAGGACGTGTTTAGATGGCTGGGGGGCTGGAGGGGATGGGGCGCGGGGGTCATGCTGGGGGAACGAACAGGGCCGAGAGGTGAAAGCCTTCTGCTTAAGTCGAGCATTTGTGGCCCCGTCTGCGCTGGACGGCGGGCAGCTCCAGCAGCGCGGCGGGCGTCTGCCAGGATCCGAGCTCGCCCTCCAAAGCTTTAACGGCAAAGAGACGGGAGGTCGCATGGCTGCTCTTTACCCTCGCTTCTGTTGCGCCGGCCAAAGGGGCGTGGGCACTGCTTCCTCTTGAACGGTGGGGGGGGGGACCCACAGAAACCAGCATTGCTTCGCACCACAGCCACACAGCAAGGACACGCGACGGCAGCAATGACCTGGCCACGAGACGAGCCCGGCTGCAGGACCAACTGGCCCTGGCACCTCCGACCTGGCAAAGGAAGAAAAGGCTCTGACTAAAGCACAGATGTGTTTAATCCGGGCCATCAGGCTCCCACTTCCCCTCACCCCCAACTCTTTGTTTTAACCTAGAGCCGTATGACCGTGCTAGATACAAGTCTGGGCTATAAGTACCTTGGGGAGCTGTCTCCCAACCTGTTCACGCAGGACTAAGGTCACCGGCATGTCGGATACCGCAGCCCTTGGGCTGCAGGGAGAGGGAGAGGAGCTGCGGGCTTTGGTCAAGCGTCTCTGGCCCAGAGCAGGCCCGAGAGGCGCATCTGGGAAAGCTGGAGCAGCAACGCGTGCCCCTGCACAGGCAGTTTCCATTGCGGTCATGTCACAGCTCGGCATCTTCCTCCCCACCACCACCGAAGGATGCTCATCCAAGCATCTTCTGGTCCCACCACCTGATTGATGCAGGCAGCATCCCAATGTGGCCAGCATGATGCCCGAGCGCTGACACCTCCACCGCGTCGGGTACAGGCTACATGTTGCTGTTTTGCCAGCTCCTGCGGCCCGGTCACTGCTTCACGGCGAGGCTGGGAGGCTGCTAGGGCTGGGACCCCGCTGCTCACTAACACATGCAGCTCTGCAGCGCTGGCAAGGCTGCCATCCTTCTCCGGCGCTGGAGCATCCCAGGGACATTCAGCCCAGGCTGCAAGCCCTGCTGTGGAGAGAAGCTGGACAACCATCTTGGAGCAGAGGTCAGAGGGGATCACACTTATCTGGGGTGTGCAAATATTGCGCTGGCCCCAGATGCATAGCAGCACCGCACAGGACACTGTCTAGGAGGCATGCTGACCGACTGCCTGTCTGGTAGCTGCTATTTCAACGCTATTGCTAGTATTAGGATCATGTAGGGCTGGAAGGGACTCCCCCAGGTCATCTAGTCCAACCCCTTGCTCAAGACTGTATCATCCCTGACTAAACCATCCCAGCCACGGGCCTGTCCAACCTGCTCTCGAAGACTTCCAAGAGCAGAGATGCCACCATGTCTCTGGGCATCCTGTGCCACAGCCCGACCGCCCTCACAGTCAGAAAGTTCCTCCGTATCTCCAACCTCCGTTTCCTCTGCTGCAGCTTGAGGCCGTTGCACCTAGTCCTGTGCCCTGCAACCACAGAGGAAAGCCCACCTCCATCCTCTCTGCAATCACCCTTCAGGTATTTGAACTGCCATCAAATCGTCCTCCTCAGTTTTCCCTTCTTCAGACCAGCCTTTGCCTTTTTTGGCTTTTCCTCCGAAGTCTTGCTGCCCAGGCCACTTACATCTTTGCCGCGCTCTGCCAGACTCCTTCAGATCTGTCCTCATCTTTCTTGAGACGACAGGCCCAGACCTGGACATAGGGCTCTTGGCGAGGCCTCGAAGTACTGACCTGAGCAAAAGCATCACGTCTGTTGACGGCAGGACCACACAGGATGCCGTTGGCTGGGTTTTTTGCAACGAGAACACGCTGCTCGCTCATATTCAGCGGATAGCGCCCCGTAACTCCCAGTTCCTTCTCCGCAGCCGAACCAGCCATCCCCTCTGCCTGTATTTGTGCATGCAATTATTTAATCCCAATTGCAGGTCTTAGCATTTGTCCTTGTTGAATTTAATACGGGTGATGGTACCATACCAGAGTCTGGAGCCAACCCCTATCTTCCAGAGTGTCCTCAAGCCCGTGCAACGTGGAGTCACCCACAAATTTTCCAAGCATGCACTTGATCCCATTGTCCAAATCATTAAGGAAGGGATCACATAATACTGGGCTCAGAGCAGACCCCTGCAGAACCTCATTTGACACCTCCTTGCAGCTAGACATCGACCCCTTACTGCCTGGTTTTTGAGCACAGTGATCCAACCAGTTATCTCTCTGCCTTACAGTACTTTCCCCCCAGTCTGCATTTCTTTGCCTTGCTAATGAGAGTGTCTTGGGAGCAGTGTCTAAAGCCTTGCTAAAGTCAAGGTATAATCACATCCGCTGCTTACCCCTCTTGCGCAGATCCTGCCGCTGAATCGTAGCAGGAAATCATGTTGGTCAGGTATGACTGGCGTCGTTCCAGGCCGATGACACGCTGTGCTATTTGCAATATGCTCTGGGTGCATTCAAGTATTTCTTAGGGCTTGTCTGCAGAGGGGCGGTACTGCTGAAGAGCCTGGGTGTGACTGCGGAGCACGATAGCTATTTTGCACTTGCATTGCTGACCTTTCACCCTGGGGAAGTGAGCCCGAAGTCACAGCCCCGAAGTCACAGCCCCGTACTCGGCGATCAGAGCTGTTAGCATCTGCTTATCAGGGTCTTGTATAGAAGAGCTCCCATTTTTTACATGGGTCTTCCCATGTCCCTGCACAGCTAGGCATCTCGCTACCAGGCCACCCACTGGGCGTTCGCCCATCGGAGGATTTTTGCTGGCAAGGGTAAAGCATTGACCGACGTGGGTTGCAGCACTAGCACTTGGAGATCGAGCCAAAGCAGCCTCCTGACTCATGAACTGCACGGAGGAATGAAAGCCAGGGTCGGCAGCCTGTACCCTCGGTCAACCCAGACAGCAAAGCCAGGATATTGGGGCAATTTGGGGCTCGAGTGTCTTTTAACAACCCCGCAGTGTCAGGACTTGAGCCCTCACCTCCCTGACGTGACCTGTGGCAGAGTGACGTGCTCCCCATGACTTTGGGCAGTGTGCCTTGTAGGTTTGCGCTGGGGTTTTTGCATAGTTTTAGGAATAGGTTAGACACGAACTGGCAGGGTTTGGGTCAAGATGACCTTGCCTAGAGCAGGGGGTTGGCCTAGGTGTCCTCCTAAAGTCCCTTCCAGCCTGCCTCCTCGATGATTTCTGTGTGCGAGACCAGCCCTGATAGTGGAAAAGAGGCCGTGTCTCACAACTGATCATGGCAGTGATCCCCCCACGAGGCCAAGGCACAAGCTTGGAGGGATTGAAAGCCCAAGGCCAAGGCTGAACACACATGTTGGCGGGGGGGTGGTATTTGCACACCCACTGCCCATGCTCTGGCTGCTCTCTGGCAAAGGCTTGCTAAACCCTGCAAGGGGTTTTAAGCCATCAGCATAGCCAGGCAGGGGGAGACCGGGGCTACATCTCTAACATGCAGGGCCCGTCTCTGCTTTTGCGAGCCTTGTGTCTTGAGATGCAAAGGCTGAATCAGCCTCATCCACCTGAGTCCTCTGGGGTGCTCCAGAGCCACCCGTCCCCCGAGTGAGACCACTTCGGGGTGTCCCTAGCACCCGGTCCCAAGCCCTCGCTCTGTAGCAACGCTGAGCACAGGAGCCGTACCGCCAACGAGGTGGAGACAAGCCCGATGTAGTCACCTGCGTGTGCCAGGGTGTGCTGTTTGCAATGGGCTTAAGTGAAGTCGCTGCGATGAGCCCTGAGGCTGGGTGCAGCCATGGCTCTTTGTACTCAGCGGGGACTTTCTGTCCTCTCTCGGTGACCTCTTTACCTAAGCTTTCAGCACT